AATTACTTGCTCTGCAATCACAACCACACTGCCGTGACCCGGATTCGAACCGGGGTTGCTGCGGCCACAACGCAGAGTACTAACCACTATACGATCACGGCTGGCGCTCGGATTTTGCTGTCAGTTGCAGTCTGTATCTTGCAGTTGTCTCACTCCACTATATATACTTGAACAGTGACCTTTACGATGCGCAAAAGAACAGCAGACATTATTTACCGTCAGATCACTGTCACTGTAAAAATACATTGTAAAAAAAAATCCATAGAAAAACGGAAAATGTCCTGGTAATTTTCTGCCAGTACATTTTCTGTTTTTTACGGAAGTAAAAAAGTACTCTGTGAAGTATTTCCTTTTCTTGGCCATTGCTCTGCACTGGAAAACCAAACTGTATGATCACAGGCAAAATAAGTGATATTTTTCCACTGCAGGATTTAGAGTGCTTCAAGTAGTGATAGCTGTTGATCCATTTCTCAAATAATCTCTAAGGATCAAAATTTTCAAGAAAGAAACAAATATCTCTGCATATATTTTGCTAAAAGCTTGATATAGGCATAACAGTTTATATTATGTCAGTATCCCCCACAAGGCATATAAAACCCCTGCCCACCAGCACTGCGCTTACATTATACTTCAATCAAAATATAGTTATTACTGATTTATTATTTATTTTTTTAGTTATAATTATTAGTATTTAATCACATTAGCACAACGGGGTGATAGAAATATTCCACATACTAGAAATGCTGCTCAGCATTTCATAAATTACATTTTCAACAAATGTTTGAGTAAAAACAGTTACTGGGAAAATGTGTGTCTGCAAATATTAACTAAACATTTCTATGTGCTACAAAATGGACATAATGATAAATGTGCTGAGGTGAAACTAAACTTTTAATAATATTACCACTATAGTCTGTTAACCACCAAATCTATGTTGGTCAGCTAGCTAAAAGTCTTTACTAGCAGCTGTAATCAACCGAGGCTAACATTAGCATTTGTTAGCGTCAGCAAGGAAGGTCTGAGACTTAAACTAGGGTTAGTGTAACTTTGCCTGAAACCCTTTAAAGTGTACAATGGAGCCAACTGTAAAACATAGTGTCACGGCGAGTAGAGTGTTCCGTGTGGAAATATTAAAGGAGGATCCAGTCGCAGGCACTCGTGAAGGTGAGGTGGTTTATTGAACACAAAATAAAAATAGACAAACAGCAAACGGAACAGAAGGCTATCTAAACTGAGAACAACTAAGCTAGTGAACACAAACCAGGACATGAACATGAAGGAGGATGAGCAGTGGAAAACGACGACGGACAGCAGGGAGAACACACAGAAGGAGCACGGTGGATACACAGCTGAACACATTCACATGAGACAGACCACAATAAAACTGGAAACAAGAGATCACTACACGAGGACGCAGACAGGACACAGAACTAAACTCACACAAAACATAAGGGCAAAAATCCTTAACCACGAGTAAACAGAAAGATGGAACTTAAATAGTAACCAACAAATCACAAAGGTAACACGACGATCATTCAAGAGATAAACTAAAACATAATAAACTCAAAATGCTGGGTCGAACCGACCCAGAACCGTGACACATAGGTATTGATATATTACTTATTAAATTCCTAAAATAATTTCTTCCCCTCTATACATTAGTAGAACCATGAAGTTCTCACTTTTCCCAGTTATCAACATCAATGACTTTTGCTAATTAGCTAGTTAGCAGTCACAGCTGTGCAATCCGGTTGTTCAGTCTGACGTCACTAGCCGTGTCTGGGCCTAAACTCCGCTGCAGGTCCACATATCAAACGATCACTATGGCATTACTGAGAGTTGAAAAACTGTCTAAAGTCTTTCATCTTTAATAAAATGATCAGCGTTCTGCTCTACCAGGTGTAACAATTGAGTTTAACATCCAG